TTTTTTTTTTTTTTTTTGTACAATTGGCTATTTGACTACTTCGTGTTCATTCTGTCTCTTATACACATCTAGATGTGTATAAGAGACAGCAGCTATAATGACCGTGCGTTGTATTCGGGGGAAGACTGTAGTTCATGTGATCGAATGCCTAAGTTGCGCATCTGATGGATGTGGGTTCAATTCCTGCCTGGTCGCTACTTCGGTAGCACAGTTTTTTTTTTTGTGTGTGTTTTTGGCGGGGCGGATATATTTTAAATGTGGGACGGGGCGGACGTCGCCATTTAAATGTGGGGCGGGGCGGACATCCTCTATATGTCTGTACTGTTTATTTTTTTGTTTTTTTCCGTTTCTTTTTTTCTTGTTATTCCCGAAATCTTCGGTAGGGGCAGCTACTGTGGAGGGTTGACAAGAGNCCCCCCCCCCCCCCCCCCCCCCACCCCAACGTACGACTCATATTTTTTGGTGGGGGAGCATCACCTACTGCAAAGGGGGGTCCAGCGTCCCATTGTGAAACAATCAGATGGGTGCCATCTTGCTTACAGGCTTATTTTCTCGATTTATGCGTGTCATCCTTTTTATTTTTTATTTTTTTAAATTTTAAATGCAGCCGTTTGGCATGGTCCGGGCACTCCGGCCCGGTCCATACCATGGCCGCTTTCCTTTACAACAGCCGGAAAACGGGTCCGGCGTCCCTCACATCAAGATGCGTGTCATCCTTGCGCAGGGGTCGTGCTAATCTTCTTTGTAATCAATGGCTCCAATTTTAACGGATGTCCCGAGTGACTAGGCCTTTTTTTCTTTTTTTTTTTTTTTTTTTTTTTTCCCCCCCCCCCCCCCCCCTAAATCTAGACTACCTCGAAGTAGGCTTGTTTTGCAGTCAAGCCGAAGCTGGGTAAACTAAGGGCCTCGCCACAGCACTGTCGAAACGAAAAGAGAACTAATGCATCTGCCGCAGAAAGTTGGTAGCATGCATCCATTGCTATTCATAGTAACGGATGCATCTTCCCCTTCTCCCCGGGAAGATACATTCGTTCGTTTTTCGTTTCGAAAGTGGTGTGGCTAGGCCCTAAATGCGCTTCCCAGCTTTTGGTTGAAAGCTAAACTGGCCGACGCTGCCAGGATAACTCCGGGCAGAATTGTGAGGTACAGGTAACTCGGCCTCGATTCTTCTGTTTTATTATTATATAGTATAATATAATAATGAAATGAAAAAAAAAAAGAAAAAAAAAAAGAGGAGGGGGAGGGAAGAAGGAAAATGGAGGGAAACAAAGAAAAGAAAAAAGAAGCTGGGTAATGGCCCCAGTTACGGGCTAGGTCCCACTAGCAAAGAGGATTGTATAAATATCCTGAATCTGGACGTGTTTTAAGCAGAGATGCAGAAAAGCAGTTCAATCTCGACAATCTGCTCCTTTCCACAAACAAATCCAGATTCAGGTGTTCAATCCGATCCTCTTTGGACCTAGCCCCGGGGATTGATTTCTGAGGTCCTCGGCCTCAAAGGTTACTTCTGATTGAAAGGTCACTGATTGAAATGAAATCGTCTCCTTTTCAAAAAGCACCTCTACTATCTTTCCCGTACATGGGCTGCGGGCCCCTCACCGCGAGCTTTGGAGGGCAGGAAATGCGACAAAGGCTGCCGATGAAATTTACCAACAGCGGCCCGTCCCCCAAAGAGTGCGGTATACGTCCTATTCCCACTTGGACTACAGCCTGAAAGGTAGTGGTCGTTAAAAAAACAGCAACAACAACAACGGGCCTAGCTCAGTTGGTACACCCACGAACTGCTGAAATATGAATCAGACCCAAGTTTGAATCCAGATACAATCAGATGACCAGAATAAAATCATTCTGAATTACCTGAGGGCGGTCAGTTCAATGATGATATCTGAAGGCCATCGCCCTTTTTGTTCCCCAGAAAAGAAGAAGACAGAGAAGACAAGGACAACAAAGAAGAAGAAGAAAAAGAAGAAGAAGACGAAGAAGAAGATGGATAACCAGTGGACCGCAGTTGAACCGGAGAACACAGCATTTCGAACACAGCATTGATCGCTCTCCCTTCCAATTGAAGGAGATTGACAGCATTCTCTGCCAAAAGGGGAGGTAAAAGCTCTTTTCTGGTCGATCTTGACTCTAATTTCTTGCCGTCCTCCACCCGAACCACTCTCATTTATATTTACCCCTTCCCATCTCTCCTGTGGCTCTGAGAGACCCTCACAGATGCACGTTGCTTTGGGCTGAAGCTGCATCCTTCGACTCCTCGGAAAATAAACACTCAGAGAAAACAAGCCTAAATATCTGTACCGTTCATGTCTGTCATCCTTAGAGAGCATGCTCAGACTTGGGCTTCCGAGGGTGGACCAGATTCTCCTGCATGCATCTGACCGCAATTGCGACCAGAAACGAGTGAAAAAAGTCCACTGTCAGTGTGCCCTCAATTGTGCGCAGGGGCCATGCCACTTGATATATTCTGTATACATATCGTTCCGAAGATGGACCTGCTGTCCCTTGTTCTGAGAAATGTCATAGTTATTAAAAAAAAAAAAAAACATCGTGAAGGACTGGATATGACTGTCGGTGGGACAGATAAGGAACCAGATGACAAGCTTTGACCAGAATGTTTGACCCGGCTCTCTTCAACATGTTGGTGAGTTTGTAAGGAAGGGTTATGCATGACAAGGTTTGACCAGAAGGTTTGACCGGCTCTCTTCAACATATTCGTGGCTTTGTAAGGAAGGGTGTATGCATGCTCACGCTACCTTTATTCCCCCGAGCACAACACCTGTCATAACGCTGGGCCAACATTCAGGCCACATACGGATTCGGAGCACAATTGACTGACTTTTAGGACCACTTTCGGACGAACCCCCAACCCCCCAGGCCTGCCCACTTAATGTCACTCCGACAAGGTCACACCGACTTGGATTGAAATATGCATTCGGTTTGGCACTGGACCAACCCATTTTTGTTTGTGTTTTAATTCTTTCCCCTGATGCGGAGTCACCGAAAGGCACATACTTGGGCTTTTTTGGGGAATTTTTTGTCGCTGGAAATTAGAAATAAAAACCTGATTTTTTTTGGATTTTTTTTTGTTGCTGGGAATTAGAATTAAAATCCTGTGTTCCCCTCCCCCCCCCACCACACAAAAAAAAGAGAAAAAAAGAAAAAACCTGATTTTTGAGGAGATTTTTTTTGTCGCTGGGAATTAGAATTTAAAACCTGATTTTTCATTTTTGCCATCATGGAACCCCCAGCAGCCCTATACTCTCAGATGAGAGCACGTGAGGCTGCACTGAGGCCCCCCTGGGCTGAGAAGCCACCCTTTCAGATTAGACATTGAATTTACAAGGGCTGGTTAATCCAATGATAATATCTAAAGGCCGTCACCTTTATTTTCGTTCTGTTTTTTTTTTAACCTGTTTTTCCTGCGAATTAAGTTGAAAATTTTGCCAAAGTCAGGGTGCTTGGAATTTTCGCACAAGCCTCCACTTGTGTCTCTTCCCCCTTCCCTCCCTCTTTCCCTTCCCTACCCCCCCTTCCCCTCCTCTCCACTCACTACACCCATCCTCTGTGTGTGTGTGTGTGTGTGTGTGTGTGTGTGTGTGTGTGTGTGTGTGTGGTCATATTCGCTATAGAATGAACTGTTGAAATGCTGACCTGAGTTTTTTTTTTTTTTTTTTTTTTTTTTTTAATTCAAAGTCATTTTGTTCATTACCAAATTGGAAATGAGGCCGGGGAACCTCACAACTCAACCCGGGGTACTGACAGCATCAGCCAGCTTAGCTTACAGGCATTCGCCTGCGGAAAGTTAAGACTACCAACTTTCCAGACTCCTAAGACAACAACTAGGATTCATCACTTTACAGAAGACCATCTAGCACATTGAACCTGTCACCACCAAAAACCACGAGTCTAGCAACTATACCCGAAACCTACTAGTCTTGAAAGCATGATCACTTGGGCTCCTATAGCTCCCATCTTAGAACCTTAGACTTTGATCTTCAGAAGGCAATCCATAACATCATGGCTTCATGACACAGTAGGTAAAATACCTATACTACGCTAATCTGGGACTAGCGCGGCCCAGAGGACATATGTCCCAGACCTACCAACACTCTCCTAGTGGTCCACAGCGACCCTAACGGGGACCGAGTGTCCTGGTCCCATATTTAAACTCGCGTTCCTCCCATCAAATGGCACTCTGCCTCCCGACATCCTCAGACAGACTCCCGCGGTCGTAGCCTAAATAAGAACCGAGTGCCCTGGTTTTGAACCTAGCTACTATCCCGCCTGTGTCGCCGCCGTACCTCGGTGATCTTTCTTCCCCTGCACTGGTTCCTTCACCCAGGGGGAAAGGACAAGCCCCTTGGTTCTGTGTACCCCTGCCAACTGGTGTCTGTGCGCCCATGTGTTCAAGAACCACCGAAGTTGCCTGCTGCTTCCTTTTCCTGCCTTCGCTTTCCTTCTCCAATCGACCTTGATTGCCTCCCTCAAACCCTGTCTCACTGCCTTTTTGATCTCCAGGTCTGAAAATGGCCTTCTTTCAAACCTTGCCCTGTTCCTGTCTTTCCAAGTGATGTTGCAGATGAGGCCCCTTGTTACCTGGGCCATATACGGCCATCCCCTATTCTTGTGCACCCCTTCTGGGAGGAAGCCCAACAACACCCATTTCTCCTCCCAGTCCACCACTGGGTCTCCAAACCGTTGCCAGTGGATCTTCCACCACTTCCAAATCCTTCGGGACGCAGGACACTCCCACCAGAGGTGTTTTGTGGATTCAAAGGGCCAGTTGCAACGCGGGCACTTCAGACTGACCTGCATGCCTCTGCTAACAAGCCAGACCGCTGAGGGAGTTACCATCAGTGAGATCTGCCACAGGATGGCTGACTGCTTACCGTTGGGGAGATAAACCAGTGAGTCCCACAGCGCCAGGAAGGATGCCTCTGCACCTGTCAGGTCTTCAGGAAAGACTGTCTGCCATCTGCAGATCGCTACCTGTGCCGGAGTGTTTTGGATGCCGACTTTTCTCCTTAATGAATAGCCTTTCGCAACTGTGTATTCCGACAAGGGGAGATGTGGTTGTCTGGTCACCCCCGATTTCCAACTCCAGGCAGCAGGGTCAATGCAGAGCTTCCTTAGAGGAAAGTGACCCACCCATTCCCACTTCTGCCTCTCCTCTGTTGTCCCCCCTTTACCCGCTATTCTCGCCTGCGGAGGGTTACTCCAGACCTTGATGACTTCTTCGTTGACGAAGCACGGTTCATTCGAGTGGCTCTTGCATCTCCACCGTTGCACCTTTCTGAATCCACTGGGGAGTACTTCCAGCAGTTTCCAAACTTCCTCCGAGTCTTCTCCAGTTGCGCAGTACCAGGTACCCACTGGGTCGAAGCCATCCGGTCCAATGCCTGTTTTTCCATTCAATTGGAATAGCTCCAAGCAACTGCTGCAGATGTACTTGCATGTTTCTGAGTGGGCTGAGCTCGATCAGCAGATTGTCCAGTTGCCTCCACGTCCCTAGTAGGGGGTTCCATAGATCACCCACTGTGGATACCCCTTTTCGGATCCAGGCCTTACCAAAGGAGCCTGGGGAACCATCGGCCATAAATTGGTTACCATTCTTGTCCAATAGTTGTGGGTTCTCGAATAAGGTTTTGGCCTGTACTTCCTTTTTTGTCTGCGGTGCGGCTTCTGTTTCAGGCGGGAGACTGTTCCATGCTTTCAGGACCTCCTTCCAAAAGCGAGACTTCACTCTCTTCCTTCGGAAGGAGGGGATGAAAAGACAGCGCCAAACGTCCAGGGGGCGGGAGAGCCCCCATTCCTTTATTAGTATTTGCTCTGCCAGCTCCATCCAATGCTCCTTCACTGGAGCATTGGCCACTTTGCACACCCACGAGCTCAGCTGCGCTTGATTTTTCTTGACCGGGGCCACCAGATTCAGTCCTCCTTCGCACCGTGGGAAGGTGAGTAGATCCCAGGCCACCTTTGTTATGAAACCTTCACCTTCTTTCCCGCCCGGTTTCCAGATGAAGCGAGCAACCACCCTCTTGACAATCCTCCACACACTTTCTGATATTTCCCTCACTGTACAGACAAACCAGAATATGGAGAACAGGGCTACATTCGCTACTAGGACCCTTCCTATAATGGACAAGTGCCACACTACTCCCCAGGTTCGCAGTCTTGTAGCAACTCTTTGCTGAAGTAACAGTCCCTGAGCCGATGTTTCAGATTGGAGACTTATCAAGACACCCAGAAACCTTTCTTCTTCCCCTTCCCCAATCCTCTTCATGCCCCATTGCACAGCTGGTTCGAATTGGACAGGCAGCATGAACACCGATTTGTTCCAGTTTACCGAAGCTTCCGACAAGGACGAGTACTCGCTCAATACATCCTTAAGGGCGATCAATGAAGTGCAAGGGTTCTCGCTGATGACGAACAGGTCATCCGCGAGAGCTTTGACCTCGCAATGCGAACCACTGTGCAAGGTCAGCCCTCTGATGTTAGGATTTCTGCGTATTCTGTTCAGCAGTACTTCCATCTGCAACACGAATAGCAGCGGGGCCAGGGGACAGCCTTGCCTCAAGGACCTAGACAACTTGAAGGGCTTGGAGAGATGCCCATTAATCATCACCGCCGAGGACGAAAAGGTGTACATCGCAACTAACCATTTGCAGAACGGAGTGCCAAATCCCATTTTCCTCAAGGTCGTAAATACAAAGGGCCAGCCAACCTTGTCATAGGCTTTTTCTAGATCTAGCAGTAGGACTGACGTGTTCATGCCCTCCGACTGTACCACCTCAAGGACCTCCAACGCTGTAACTATGTTATTGAAAATAAACCTCCCTCTCACAAATGCGCCTTGGTCCCCTTCCACCAGACCTGGTAAGTGTTCCCCCAATCTGCGTGCTAACGTTTTCGCCAGAATTTTGTACGAAACGTTCAGCAGCGAGATCGGCCTCCAATGTATGACCTCGGATTTGTCTCCTTTCTTGAACAGCATCCTGATGACACCATGAGCCATCCCTTTTCCCAACCGGCCATCCACTAAAATCTGATTGTATAGCTCAACTAAGTTAGGGCCCACGGAGTCCCACATTGTGCTGTAGAATTCCACAGTTAGTCCATCAATGCCCGACGATTTGCCCCTGGCCATGGACTTAACGGTCTGGGACAGTTCCTCTAGTGTTACAGGTCGGTCTAGATCTAGTCTGGCTCTGTCCTCCAGCCTGACACTCGTGTCATCCCACATATCTGACGTGGCTGAGAGATCTGTTGTCGGGTCCTCTTGCGGTCATCTTGAGGTGAGTATGTCCTCGTAGTATAGCTTGGCGTAGTGGAGCATGCCTGAGGCCGTCTCTGCATTCGGAGCGGTGCTATCAAATGGACGACGCAGTTCTACTATCTGATGTGCAACTCTTCTAGGCTGCAGTTTCTGGAACGTCTCCTTGGTCATGAGGTCGTGGGTCTCGATTCCTTTCTCCTTGAGTATTTCAGTCCATCTACGTTGCTTGTCTTGTTGAATCCCATCCCATTCTTCCAATCTTTTTTCCCTCTCTGCGGCCCGCACCATTGCAGAAATGGGGTGGGCTTCCATTCTCTCCTCAGCCTCTTCCACCCGTTTTCTGCACTCCAACTCTCTCTTATTTCTTCCCTTGGCGAGGATCCTGGATAACACATCGGGCACCCCAGCGGTGATGGCCAAGCCGGCGTCCAACCAATCTGCATTGTTATCAAACAATTCTCTAGGTGAGTCCCACTTGGTCATGTGGTCAGCCACCCATTCGCGGACGCCCGGATTCTCCAACACTTGTTTGTTCAATCTGAAGAACCCCTTACCCCTTTTGCTGCCTTCCTGTAGTCTGATCTCTGCTGTAACCGGCTTGTGGTCCGACAAGGGGTTGCAGGAGTGCCACGCAGTCACTACCCTGGGTACCAAAAGATCGGAAACTAGAATGTAATCCAAGCGGCGTCTGGTCACGCGCTGCCTGTCGTGAAACCAGGATCCACTGGGTTCAGCAACCGAAATGGATCAGCCATTTTCACCGTCTCCATTAACTGAAGTAGAGCCTCCACGTTCTTCTGGTCTGCACACCCTGAGTCTGGGCGGAGTGCCTCCTCCAGTGATCTGTTCCAGTCTCCTGCCAGAATCACCTTTTCCACTTTTGGAATGACCGATATCAGGTTTTTGAAGAAGGCCTCTCTCTCCCTTGATTTGGTGCGTACACCGTCATGAGTAGCCACTCCTCTGCTCCCACTTCTACACTCATCCATGCCCAACGCCCCCAAATATCCGCTTCCTTGTCTAATACCCGAAACTGCAGATGTCTGTGGAGCAGGATACAAACGCCACCTCTGGTTCCCTGTGCGGGGGACCAGATTTGAGGTCCATCCCACCAGAGCGCTATGTCTCTGATCTTTTCTTCATTAAGTTTCGTCTCCTGAAGCATAACGCAGTTCCTGTTCCAGTCATGAATCTAGGATTTGAGGCTCCTTTTTTTAAACCTCCCATTTGTATCACCCAGCCCTCTAACGTTCCACGAGACGAGCTTAAGTTTGTCCATTGTTCTCTGCTGCTTCCGCCTGATCTTGGATGCGAACGTTCCTAAGAACGAGTGCTGAGATGTCTGGAAGAATTTTGATTTGCTCCAGCTCCCCTGTGTACTGGTCTGCCAACTTCGACATGTGAATCCACCTCACACCCCCTTGAGTCAAGGTGTCTGCCAACTCCGGAGGAATGCAAGCATCCAGCAAAGGAAAATACTTGTAGTATCGTTCTGCGGACTCTACTATCAGGCTGACCATTGTCGAACGCGGGATCAACCTGATCGGGACGTGCTGCCCATACAAAGATTTAGAAAAGCCGAAGATTTCTGAAGGAGTAGGGGAGCGCTCCACGTCTACCGACGGTAGGTATGGTACGCCGTCAGACTTGGCCAGGGCTAGGAAATAGACCCCATCGTTAGCCATCGTGCAGAGTACTGGCTCCAGTCTTCTCTGGACACTTTCCACTTGGCTTCTGCGAAGGGTGTCTGCTCTTCGATCTTGATCTTGGAACATGTTCTCTTCTCTCATCTGCTCTTCATTCCTGGGTGACTTCGCGGCTGCCGAGCTAAGCATGGAGGATCTTTCTCCTTCAGAGCTTTCTGACGCCTTTTCCCCGTCATACCACTCGCTGCCCCACCGCACCCTCGATTGGGAGGAATCCGAGGTTCTCGACAAGTCCCTTTGAAAGCCCCCCAACCCTTCTGCTCTATCCATGCCGTTGCTCGGTTTGCTTTTGCTGCCCCTTTGATCCCCAGGTCTTCCCGGGAGGTCAGCATGCGAAATGTCCTCTCCTCCCATCTGCCACTCTTCTTTGTTGCCTTGGTCGTGTTCTGTCCCTCCCATTTCATCCCTTCTTCCAGGATCTCTCCACCTGTCTCCGTTAATCCCACCATTTGATCTCCCTTGGGACCTCCAATCCCCTCTGGACGCCCCTCCGGAGGCTCCTCTCCTTAGTCTCGATGGTCCTGGTCCTGGCGCTCTCCATGATGGTCCTGGCCTTTCTGACTGGGCCTCTCGGCTCTGTGGAAACCACTCCCTCCAGTTGTATAAGCTCGGTGGATATCTTGGGCGTGGGCACCATGGTCTTGGAGGATCCTCAGTTCCGTGCACAGGGTGTCTCGGGCGGTAATTCTGGACTTCCTGCAGTTCTGGACCCCACCCCTGGTCATACCCCTGCTGGTGGTCTAACGGGGGAGTTCCCCTTTCCTCGTAGTAGTTACCGCCTGGCCACTCTGTTTGGTCTGCCCACGTGGGCATCAGCGCAGGGCCTGTAGTGTGCTCGACTGGTGTGAAATGCCCGGGGTAGGGGCTCCGGAGCTGTTCGCTCGTGGCAGCCCCATTCCCCATGTTGCTCGGATGTTCCCAAAGCCTTTGCAGTCCTTCCATCGGTGGTTGGCTCTGATTCCAGCCGTAGCTTCCCGCCTGTTCGCTTTGTCGCTGTGTGCTCCATCCCCTGCCGTCCTGATCGCTCCGCAGGGTCTCTCGTTAGCAGTGCCTTGATCTATCCAACCAGGCCCTTGGGCCTGGGCACCGGGATGTGCTGCCGCTGGAGCTGCCGCTGGGTGCAACCCGTTTGCTGCATGTCTGGCTGCTATGGAGTCCCTCAGTTGAGATTCTTTGCTGGTGCTCAGAAAATCTGACCTTTTGTCCTCCCGGTCTGCCTGCAACATTGCTCCCTCTTTCTTCCCCCTGCCTATGTCTGGGACAATTGCTTTCCGTGTGGAAATACCATCTGCACCGCCTACACCAATCGGTGTATGGGGTGGCGATCTCCACTCTCCACCTCTCCCCATTCGGACCTTCAATAATTAGCATATCCTCTACCTTGTCCTGTGCTTCCGGTGATAACTCTAGCTTAACATTCATCAATCTGGGTCTTGCGTTATCGTATTCTGGCGCGTGCATAAGTAGGACATCACCAAAAATTTCCTGAACGGCGCTTCTTAGGTTAGTAGTATGCTTCCAACGGAACTCGCAATGCCAAAATCCAGAATTTCACTTCTGCTTCCTGGAGCCTGATCTCCCTGAGTTCTTGAAGAGGCAGCCATGGTTTGAATGACACGATGTATTCCTCAGCCTCCTGGAGTTTGATCTTCAGTTCCTTCTGCTGGAGAAGCCAAGTTGCTATTTGCTCCGACCTTGCTATGTATGACACTACGTTGGCGGCTTCAAATTTAGCGGTTTGCGGCCGGGCCGAAAGTCCTCGTCGCAAGCCACCCATCTTCATAGGCTCTTATTAAGTCCTCCTTCACTTGTCTCGTCAAGTTTCTTGCCTCTCCTTGAAAAGTTACAATGACTGTATGGTCTTTCAACCACTCTTCCTTCACTGTGTTGACTTGCTTGTTAACCACAAATCGTTTTCCGTGCAAGTCTTCCACCACCTCCCCCAGAGACGCCTCATCTGGGCACACTCCCTGAGCGTAACATCTGCCTACTGATTCTCTCAACCTCTCGTTGGCTCTAGCTGTCGCCGATGGAGTAGGAGGTATGTACCTCCCGTTAAGACCTTGATTCGCCATCATCTTCGCTTCAGGGCGACTACCGCTCAATGACCTCCTTATGCTCCCCGAATCAAGCAGTGCGTGCGCCAAGTGTTTGGTTGTGTAAAGAAACAGTGGGCCACGCGTGTAAATTCACCGCGTGTTTCGCTGTGCTCCCCTGTTTTCGTCTTGAAGACTTCGGTGCGTCCAACGGCCGTTTCGTATTACTTTCCCGGTGGAGATCGAGAAAGCAAACTTCTTTCTCGCAGAGGCATGCTCTTACTTATGTAGTTCTATCCTGTCTTAAACTGTCTTGCAAGAACAACCCGGGTGATAAAGAATACTCCACGCATCCCTGTAGAAGGAGCGGGTAGGGCTGACTGCCACGCCTCGACGAAGTGGCAAGTAACTTGCCGCTACATCCTCTCCCCTTCGGAAGCCAAGAAATAAATTCGAGAATTGATTTACGCTATCTTAAATTCCTCAGATTCAATAATCGTGGCAAGGAGCGGTCATGGTTTTCTCAACCCCGTACAGTAGATTCACAGAATTACCATCAACCTAGATCAACTGATCTGCCGCTTTTTACCGGCTGCGGTCCGAAACGGAGTGAGATCTTCCCACACTCCTTTCGTAGTGACTGAGATTCACCACGGTAAATTGCAATCCGATTGTGCACCGGAAACCTCCTGATGCCTGACCAGGAATTGTCTTTACTCATCATCGATCGACTGCTTACTCGCACCTGTGAAACGCATATTTACTGTGAATTAACCGCGGTAGATACCCTAAAATCAGCTCCCGGCTCTAGGTAAAGGTGGCTGGGGCAAGAATCACTCACCAGTGCAAAACCCAAGTAAATATCAATCGTGTATTCCTTTACCCTAGGCTCCGAACGTTGAAGACCGCTTGTACCAACCAATCTGGAAAAAAAAACAATATACAGAGTTAGCGACGTGACTGCCGGGGACCAATGGGGGGTTCCCTGAGAACCGCTCCTCCTTCCGTTCCGCCATACCCGTGTTTACGTTCTACCCCATTTCAGATGGTGATGGCCAACTCTGCGTTCCAACCTTCCACCGCCTTGCACCTCCCTGATTCACCGTGGTAACTATCGCTACTACCAAGTTCCAGTATATCGTAGTCCTCCCCTACCTACCCTACTGGACTACCGGAGAGACAACCACCATTGGCGGGCATAGCCCCACCTCCGAGAGGGAGGAGGATGGTGCGTCTTTCGTGCCTCGTCTCGGCGGCGAGGTGGACGACCCGGTAGCGCCACTAGCGCTAAACGCTCGTGACGACGGAGGATCCGGAGCGCTACGCTAGTCGCCCGGTACCGCCGCTCCCTAGAAAAGTCTGACCTGAGTTTGAATCCGGTTAGATGAGTGAAATGAAATAATTCGGAATTATAATTCTGAATTAAAACAGAAATAAAAAATTGTGGAAGAAGACAGCACAGAACGCACGGAAAAAAGCACACAGAAGGGTCAGAGACTGTTTTGTGGAGGCGGAAGCCGAGGAACCGGCGACAGTTTGCACAGCTCCCTAAGAGCGCTTTGAGGCGTAATATGCTTTGAATCCAGTGGTGAATGGCAAGCATGCCGATGACAAGGATACATGCATATTAATGTGACAAGGCAGCACAGCAAACAGTAAGGCGGACGGGTGAGGGGATGCGCAGCCAAGCAAGCTCTAAAGGGCGAAGGGCAAGAAACAGCAATCCAAGCAGCTGGACAAGTGGGGAGCAAGGCCGCGACGCAGTAGTTAGGCCACCAGTACACCCGGGCCCGGAGCGGCTGCACTGCGCACCGAGCGTTTTCAAACCGCCAGCAGCACACTCCTTTTCTCCCTTGGCTGGCGCCGCCAGCCATTGTGGTCAGGTAGCCCCGAATCCCCAAAAAATTTGGAGTTGACGCCTTCCAATTTTCTACGAGGCTGGGGGCGTGTACCCGCGGTTTAAGGGCGGGGCAAGGAGACAGGGATCAAGGCATGCAGCAAGGTGTCATGGAAGGCACCAGCAACGCATGCAAGCCTGTGGATGGGAGTAAGGCAGGAAGGTACACAGCAGGGCATGTCGCAAACGCAAGAAGTCGGTAGGAAGCAGGAAAGCGTGAGGGCCGTGGGGTGAGGAGCAACGCAGCGGGTACACAGCGAGGTGGAGAGGCATTCACGAAGGGTGCAAGGCAAGCGAAAAGGCAGCACGACGGGCAGGCAGACAGCAAGGCAGAGGGGCATGCCACAAGGCAGCAAGCCAGGCCGAATGCAGGCAGGCACAATGCAGGCAGGAACAGCGACAGGGGAAACTGTCAAAAAAGCAGGCAGGAACGATGCAGGCAGGCAGGAACCATGCAAGCAGGCAGATGGGCAAGCAGCTAGGCAGGTGCCAAGGCATCACAGCAGCCCATACATGCTGAAAAGACCAGAGTGGATTATCACTTAGTCACTCCATATGGAAACCCTGCAATTGTATGCCAGCATTAAACCCTCAAGCACCAAGGAGCTTCAGGGCCGAGTGTCTATCAGTGCCAGGTTGCACACAGGCATCATGAAAACAACCTTCCCTCACCAGGATGCACACAGGCACATCAGGCATTAAAGTGTGTGCCTGCCTGTCTGACTGTATTCCTCTCTCTCTCTCTCTCTCTCTCTCTCTCTCTCTCTCTCTTTTTCTTTTTTTTTCCTTTTCTTTTTCTTTTTCTTTCCTCGCCATTTCTTTTGCTTTTTTTTTTTTTTTTTTTCTATTTGTCGGTTTTTTAATTCGTGAATTAAACTCGGACTTCGTAGCCAGTTACTTTTAGTTCTGCGGGCGTGACCCGCACCACACGCACCGAGGTCG